ACCATGGACCCCATCAGAGTCAACCCTCCACCTATCACACCCCTGGAGACAATCAGGGCATTCAAAGACAAACAGCAGATTCACCCAGGTTTCATTGGCGGGCAGCAGCACCCTCCTCAGCACCACCCACAGCCACAGACACTCACCCTTAAACCCATCCGACCGAGGAAGTACCCCAACCGTCCCAGCAAAACCCCTGTGCACGAACGGCCGCACGCCTGCCCGGCGGAGAACTGTGACAGACGCTTCTCACGCTCAGACGAGCTCACGCGCCACCTTCGCATCCACACAGGTCACAAACCCTTCCAGTGCAGAATATGCATGCGCTCCTTCAGTCGGAGTGACCACCTGACCACCCACATCCGCACACACACGGGCGAGAAGCCCTTCTCCTGTGAGTTCTGTGGACGCAAGTTTGCCAGAAGTGACGAGCGAAAGAGACACGCAAAGGTTCACCTGAAACAGAAGGACAAGAAGCCGGCTGACAAGAGCAGCGGGGCGGCTGGGAGCCACAGCTCGCCACCCGGCTCCTGCGGGGGGCCAACGGTGGGAACGTCATGACCGTCGCTACGTGCACTTGGACTGGACCCTCTCCATGCCTCGTAAAAGAGACTAAGAAAGAAAGGATCACGTCCACTATGAGATAAATAGGTGACTCTTTTCCTCTCTTTTACACCCCTGCTCTTTTCAGTTAACTTCTATTTTACAGATGGATGCCTTTAGGTTAAGATAGAGGGGGAAGGGTGCTACGCCCTTCTCTTTCAAGTAACTCAGAGTCTCAGCTACTGTGACACAGTGCCAGCACAAAGAAGGGCACTTTGGCTTATTCTGTCTACGAAGTCGCCCGAAAGCTTTTTGGGGTGGATACACTTTTGTAAATTTTACTGAGAATTTCTAAATTGGAAGGAAGCCAGAATCCATCATAAGACTCAAAAACAGACACAATTACAATGGAATTTAGTTAAAGGGTACGTTTCCTGGGATGTATGCATTCATTTTATTAGGCTGTTTAAAAGTGCAATTGGTTATATTTATGTACTGTCATGGATACCTTATTAGTGGCACTTGGCTGTCTTTCTGTTGTTTTTGTTGAGGTGTTGTGCTTTTTTATTTTCTATTTGAATGTTGTTTTCTCAAAAGAATGTGCCAAATGTATTGTGGTGATACAGCCAACCTTGTTCTTATTGGTGTGCCTGACATTTGCCAAACACAGCAGTGATATCAGTTTAGCACACATGTTGAGGTTAAGGATAGATCTGATTAAAAAGTATCTCAGATTTGGATTCACTTGGTCTAGATAATGACTGAATTGGTTACACAAAGCAAACCAACGTCTTGTCCTGTTACCTGTTCTTATAAAACAAACATGCCTGCAGCAATCAATGCCTTTGCCAATACTTATTTATTTATTAGTCACTGAAAGACACTGTGTATTTTTGTCGCCTTTTTATATGGTGGCTTTATGTGATGTTACCTAATATCATTCCTGAGTTTTTTAAAGGCTAACCAATGCTGTTCTTTTTTTATTTCTTTTGAGTTCTGCAATTTTCTGCATAATGACATACACCAAACCAGTAAATAAAAATAAATTACAGCATAGTAACACATACTGAACTACTTACAGTACATAAATGACACTGGGTTGAAAGTCAACAGAATATGAAAGCAAAGATGAAAGAGGGATACTCAGAGTGAGGGGACCATATATTTAGTTTAAATTACCAATTGATGAACAGCATATGGTGAGAGAAAAATAAATCAAAATGTCCAAATCCATGTTTACATCTTTTATAATACAGAGTGACTGAGAGTAAGTTGTAACCTAAGGACTTGTTGTTTTTGTACATTATACAAACGTGTATGCAGGTAGCTACAGTAGAAGTCACACTTTTGTACTCAAATGTCACATGCAACATAATTCAGTATTAAATTGTGCATATATGCGCATGCCTCCATGCACACTATGTAAATACAAATGTCTGCATAAACAAGAAATTTAAATTGATTGGATGCCTGTGCGGAATGTGTCTTAAAGCTTTTAGTAAAGTAGTTATATTACAGAATACTTTGTTGTCATAGGTCATTAAAACATTTTGGAGCACTGTAAAGGTGCCAAATAAGGTGTATTAGCTTCCATAAAAGAAAACAGGATAACAGCACCATTTGTACATTTTAAAGTGATAAATGGTTTACGGTAGCACTAATGTGTTCTCTGAATAAACAGCAAAATTTCTTACGTTTTGTTTATCTCAATTATAGTCACAAATCGGTTACTTCAATTAGCACATCTTACCCACTGCAGAGAAAACACTGGTTGTTCTCAGATAGACAAGAGACTAAATTACTGGATACTTGCTTTTACAAAATCATTACAGAGCTATGCCAATGTTTTTCACATTCCTTAATGTTTTTTTCCGGGATAAAAGGAAATTACTCTTATTTAATTCAATGAAATATTTTGTGTAGGCTCATCGACCCATTAGCTTCTATGGGAACTTAAAAGTGTCACAAGAACAACCATATTTCATTGAACCGGTATTCCCAATTGGGAATATAAAAGGTAAAATGATTTTAAAAATATATTTGTTTTAACAAATCTCTGTACAAGGAGGTTGGTTTTTTTCTCGAAGACTGCATAATGGCACAATAAAGTGAAATATGAGGTGGGGTAACCTTGTCTAAGTGCAGAGATAGTTTCTGATTTTATCACTAAAACACAAGGTAAATTCCTCCTTCTACTTTGACCGGCAGTATTTCTGGCAATTGTCTGTGCTCTCTGAATATCAAGGACCGTATTCTGTATGCAAGGCAGAGAGTTTATATAAACATTGTTATCAGCTAGAAAGAAAACATTCTGCATATTGTGTCAGTAGACACTGAAATCAGACTTAAACAAAACAGCGACTGATTAATGCAAAGGCCAAAAGAAAGGTTCAGAATAGCTACGCCACAGAGGACATAGTGCTTACAGAAACACGCTTCCAAGGCCACGCTTCGCCTTTCCTGTAACAATCAGTTTTCACTGCTGAGCTCCCTGGCAAGTGCTCACTTATTTTCCAATTAATTTGGCCTCAGAGATTCTTTTCTGAACTCATCCATCTGGTTAATTTTTTCGATAGTTTACAAATCCACACCACTGCTGTAAAATCAATAGTTCGGTGTCATTAAAAAATATAGATTTCATTTAATCTGACTTTTCTGAGCTTATCTTACTAAAAGTCATACGACTACACAACTGAACAAAATTAAAGTGTAACTTCTTACACATAAAATCAAACAGCATTCTTCCGGCCTGATTGCAGATGATTAATAATAACAATAACATAATAATAGTAATAACATTTCAGTTTCCCAGGTTAAATATTGCAACGTGAGTAATGACCTCTCATGTAAACATCGTGTAGCAGACCGCCTCACAGAGTCAGCACAAAAGAATATAGTATGTGATGTGATAGGAAATGCAAAATGTTTATCTAGAATAACTGGATTTTTTATATAGTCCATCATAGACTGAATTAAATTTTAATTTATTTCACCAGAGGTGTTGCTCTTTTTAGATTTTGTAGGTCGGAACGGACAATTTTAATTATAATATATAATGTGGCCTCCTCTGTTACAAAACTGTTTCCTATATGTTGAGGGATGATTTTGAGTGAGGCAGAGAATGCACCAAACTATTTCCATAACTAAATGAAGTCATTTCATTTTGAAAACAGTATTTCATCAGTCCTATCTTCTCACTGTGCTTGTCACTTCTGTTTTGTGACACTTTTCTAATGGAAAGATACATTTTGTATCTATATTTATATGATCCCCCGCATCCCACGCCTCCAATATAGTTTGGTGGTTGAACAACAATACAGGCTGCACCATGTTCCGTTGAACAACATTCCGTCTGAGTAATGTGTGAATGCTATATATATATATAAAACGTCCTATATAAACTGAAAAACAACCCCCTTCTTATAAAGGCTTCTCCGAGAATAATTTATTTATGTGTTTTTTTTACATTTTATTGTCCAAAAGTGGGCAGCTGAATGCTCAGAAATTGGAATTTGCCTCATTCTCGTTCTGTGCTCCACATTGGATCTGAGCCAACATCAGCAGCCATCTTCGTGCCAAACTGGGTTGCAGGGTTGGCTGATCAAAAACAATATGAGATGAGAACTCCACAGGAGAAGCAAATCATAAATGTGACCTCAGTCTGCTTGCAGCTGAACGCAGTCCTGTGCTAATGTTTGTGTTTAACTGTTTGATTTAGTCTTCGTACGGTTGGCCTTGGGCAGGGCAATAGGCGGGCTATTTTGTGACAATAAAAAATTACAAGATTGTTTTTTAAAAAACCCTCATGTTTGAATAGATGTCAATAATGTGTAGATATCATAGGCTGCTCATGTCATCTTATGGACTACAGGGTGGCTTCAGGGATTTTGTGGTCTTCAGCAGTGACATTACGGTGTTCAGATGGAGACATTACTCACTGTTTTCTGTTGTGTTGTGTTTTATTTTCATTGCGGTATATCCTCATGTTTGCATGTGCACGGAAATGCTACCCTCAGATACTGTGGGTGGTGCTCATTTCTTTATTATGCATGAAAATAAGTCACATTGGGTGAAATGGAATACACCCAACAACAATTCAAGATAGAGAAATAAATAAAAACACACACACTGGGATAACTGTTCTCTTTTTTCTTTTTTTTCTAAGAAAACAAGGGGTCTTGTTTAAAATGTCATGGATGTCTTTAGCCCATTTCATGTTTTATTACCTTATAATAAGGTAATTTTATGATGAGCTGAATATTAAAATTAATTTTACTATATCCTTGTGATGGGGAGGTGTGCTCCCCTGTTTACTTGGCACTTCAGTTTGTTGTAATGCAATTGTTTTGTTATTTCTATGTAAGTACTTGAATAAAGAAAAATATCACTTGCCTTCCGTTTACTTGCTTAATCTCTACGTGCACACGCACACACGCACGCGACGCGTATACGCAAAACACACACACAGTCAATTTCTGACACACACATTTTACAATAGCATATGAACAAAAGCCATTTAGTGTTATTATATGAACACATCATAAAGTTGTTAGCAGTGGGTTTTTTTCCAGTTTATAACAAAACGTCTTTTTGAGGAAACACAAGCGACTAATCTCCGGACTTCCTGTTTAAAGCCTGGCTGTTGACTGGTAAAAGGGGATGAGGTCCTTGGAAGATAATAAAACTACCCAATGAAACCGGAATAGAGCTTCAGTCAAAATGAGCTGGTACGTACAATCTACAACTGACGATTGATCCGGCGTATTAGATTTAAACTATAGATGTAAACTACTAATAATGAACGCGGACAGGTGGCTTGTCAACGGGCTCCGGCTATTTCCTGCTAGCGCTAACGCTTCACGTCATTAACGAAACGTTAACAGTTGGACAGCAGTTAGCGTTAGCTTGTTATACTCACGAGTATAATCTTCCCGAGAGACCGTGAAACGGGTTATTGATGTCTGCCCGTTAAACAGTTGATAGCTAATTGGTAGCGTAAGTTGTTGCGAAGAGTTAACTCTCGTCGAAGGTTGCTTGATGACGTATTCGTTGTTTAGCTATCTTGGACAGTAAGTTGAGGCTAGTTTTTGCTTGCTGGAACATAAAGTTAAACAATTTAGCAAGCGAATTTACACAAATCGAGTAGACTACCGCTCCGTTCTAGAGCTTTAGCTGCTTAATGAATACATAACGTTTCTGTTGCTATAGCCCTGACGTCACTTTGAAACTAGACGTAGTTAGCTAGTAATGCTAGCTAGCTAGCGTTGTTTCTTCGGTCAACAGGATGAACGCTGAAGCCATTTAAAGGGCTCTGATCATCCGAAGTAACGTTAGTCATCTGCTGCAAGCCGACGTTTGCGTTTTGATGTTCTTTAACTATGTTAAACACAACCATTTTTAATGTGGGTTTTGTGTGTGTTTGTTTTCGTGCTGTTGTGTTGACATACTATTGTTTTATGTTTGGGCTAATAATCTAATGTTAGAAGATACTGCACTAATCTGAAGCTGGAAGCATTATTTTGTTTTAGTTGATGTGATTTAGGACTTTGTGTGCCTCAGTAATCCTTTTGCAGATCCTGATCAGCAAGGAAAATTAAAAAGATTATAATTACATTTTGATTGGTATCATCGAAACAAATTCAAACGTTTCAACCTAATTGCGCATTTTTGCACATTTGGCTATTTTTTGTCCTTGAAGTGCTTTGTAGTTTTCTGTGGAGCCACAGATGATCGGGGCACTACGGTCAAGAGATGAATAAGAGGTGGTGTGAACAGTTGGTTTCATGACATAGTTTGAATGGATTATCTGCCCAGATATTAGCTGAATCTGACAGTCTTGTCATCAGAGCTCTTCCGTCCAGCTGGTGACGTCCCTTAGAAAGTAAACAACAGCAAACAAGGCTGTGCTTTCATTTTCAGCCAAATGGCAACGGGAAAACGCATTCTTCTACAACAGAATATGTTTTGTGCAGTTTTTATTCTTCACTCAAATACGTTTAAATATCAAATATTGTATTTTTACAAACCGGTCCCAACACTGGTTTCTGACCCATGTTCTCTCCTCTAGCTATAGTCTGAATCACTTTTTGTTGAAATATATAGGGGTCAACCATATGCTGTATATATTTTACAACAATATACTTTTATTGTCTTTTGGGAGCCATTTTTTGTCTGTGCTGAAAAAGAGGTATTGATAGTTACAGCGTCTTTCTCTAAATGCACAAATGCAGTTCAAGATGAAATGCGGAGAACCAAACTCCTATTAGGCCACCAACAAACTCTTTCAGTCATGTGTATGACCACTAGCTCACTTTGTAACATAATAAATATTCTTAGTGCCATTTTCAGGATAGACCGTAATCAAGGAAGCAAAACGGCGTCAGACAGTTAATAGCTGGCAAGCAAATCTTCCACCAGAACACACCGCCAAACGCAAGGTCAAGAGTTGGGTGCTCGGCCAGTGAAAAGAGTCCTTTATGGGCTCTGCTGACTGATGCATTCCAGTAGGCCCTGCAAACTTGCCTCTATGACGTGAGAGGTTTGACTTTGGGGTCACCATCAGAACAATTCCACTTCCCAACATCTTCAACCAGCCCTCTGTGCTCCATGGAATATCTAAGGTTGAATGATGCACTATCCCTCTAATGGCGTACACATTTGCAGTTTTAGTGAAAAGCCATTGGCTCTTCCAGTCCATGTTAATGTGTCCCGGATAGAGAAGACTGTTGCGTCTTTGTTCTTGCCTACGTGCTTGCTTGATCACAGTGATGTGTAGCCTATTACAGAAAAGATCAGATAGCCCTGTAAATGCAGGCTGACCATCTTGCTGATGATGACGACAGCAAGTGTGTAAAAGAGCACTTTTTATTTTTACTGCGTCTTGGCCTGAAACTGGGCAATGGCCAAATTTGACCTCTAACCTCCCTTGTCACTGAGCGGCACAATCCAAGTTCATGAAACTATCCTATCCATGTATCCCTTGAGTTCTATGTGCTTGTGTGAGTAAAGGTTTTGGTAATATGGGAATATCTGAGTCAAAGTACTGTGCAAATAACAATTTAAATAACTTTATATTTTTTCACAATTTATCCGAATTGAAGGTATTTAGCATTAAATATTAAAGCAATCAGTTGAAGTGCCTGTCATCGAGAGGCTTAGATTTCTTTCAGAAAAAATTGGACTTCAGCTGGTGTAACACATACGCTTTCTGTCTTCAGCTGTCTTGCGGTCAGGTCTCAGCCATGTCAGACGCTAGTTCTGGGTTCACAGGAACCCAACTTACCAGTGTTTCTAAATGTGACAGCCCCTACAGAAATATGGCTGCGTGAAGAAACATTAGAAATCCTACTCGCAGTGACTAGCAGCCTCCCTCATTTTCTCCCTCTGGTAGTCTGCAACGTTTTCCCTCTCCCGCCCAGAGCACACTTCACTCTGTGTGTTTGCCAGTTCTCATGAGCAGTTGAAGAGTGACCACTTTCCCTTGGCTCTTTGTACAAGTGGATACACTCTGAATCTGTAACATTAAGGACTCACTTCAGCCCCCACCCCCCCACCTCCCCAAATATACCAAATGGATCCTTTGGTACGTTATAGGGGGAATCTATCGTAATACAGTTGCACTTGGACTCTTTATGTCACCGAGAAAGGAACCGTGTCATGGTCAGCTCTGCCGAAACATGGCAAAAGAGAAAATTAAAGTTAACAGTTTCATGGTGCTGTATTTCAAAATTGTAATGTTTTATACTTTAACCCTTCCGTGTTTTTATCCCCGAGTGTTAATTAAACGTTATTAATTAAGTTTGGTTGAGATCAACGTATAGCTTACAAAATAGACCTGAGACAATTTCCATGTACAAAATCCGAATCGTTTACCCATAGAAGGAAATTGTGACACAGACACAATTCTAACAATTACCAATGTTTTATTGGTTAAATAACCTTTAATGTACATTGGAGGTTTTGCAGTTTGTTCCAGTAGCAAGATGCGTACAATACCTATTAGTATAAAAACACGTGAGTCACTTGTGTAACTGTGCAGTTGTATTCTCTGGCTGATTATCAAAGTCATTATTCATCAACATTGTGAAATTATATTGGTCAAGGTATCAAAACTGCATGCTGCGTTAGAAAGCAGAACATGTGGCACAAAGTAGGTGCTTACGGTGGATAAAGGTCCGTGGGATTTGTAGACATAACAATAAACTTGTGTTTAGGGAGGCAACTTTTTGTGAATGGTTAGTACGTGACTGATCAAGCTGAACATCTTTCAGAGTCAAATTAAAAAACGTTCTGGAATTTACATTGGGTAATTATTATGCCTCTGTTGTATTTCGGAAAAAGGATTCATACAATGTCAAAGACCGCTACGTACGTAACTACGTTGTCCACTTAATGTGACGTTGTAGTGAGTAAGTAATCGAAAGGTGTGCCGAGTAAGATGGTGGTGAGTAATTTCTGTGGTTATTTTCCGTGATGGCTCACCCAGATGATGACACAGTGGGTGAACCTTCTTTCTTGAGCCAAAAGCAACAACATATTTTTAGATATTGGGGATCGGTAAAGATTCAAATGTATAAAGGATTGTTCAAAACGCCAATGAAGACAGGGTCAGGACAAATGGCAGCTGTTACAAACTAAAACCCAGCATCAACACGGAGCCAGCTAATCAAAAGAAATTGTCATCCCCTCAGTCACTTGTGAAACCGGTTATTATTTTACTACATTAAGCTCGCTTTTATTTGGCCATGTTGAGTTTCGTGATTGGAGCTGTCATCAAAAGGATCTTCCCCACACAGCAGTCGCATTCCCTGGTTGCACAACGAGGCCTTACATCACACCCTCACTTTTCCATCTCATTAGTCTACACACCTTTCTTTTGACGCAGCTGCTGCCTCACCCTGCCTGTCAGCAGCAACTGTCCATCATATAGCTTAGATTTCAGGCTATTAGTGCCACATCAATGACAACCTGCAACCCGGCACATTGGCAAGGCAGTTTTTTTCCCTTGTCTTCTGCTTTCCAAAAGCAGTCTGATAGCAACTTATTAAGGCAAGGTTTTGAAACGTGGATAAAAGATTGTGTTTTAACTAAGAAGGAACAGGTTTCTTTTACCCAAACTATTGTCAGAATGTCAGTGTGTTTTCTCTTTCAAGTCTGAAGAAAAGTTTGTATTTCATTCTCAAAATGAGGTACAGCTACTGCAGTTACGCAGGCATGTTTTTGTTTTTGGACTAATGGTCTCAAGTTTTATTTCATGATGTCCTGGCTGTACCCTTTTTGAGTCCCAATACACAATTTTTCTTCATACACAGTAAAGCGTGTGCATCCGTGTTTGATTGCCAGCCGGCGTCCTGCATCAAAAGACACAAAGCAGGACGAGGACAACCACTTCTGTTTGGTGATAAGCGCCTGCAATGAGAGCCAGATGTGTTTAGTGACGATGACATGTGGTTAATGTACACGGCCTTGAGCGCACAGTCCTGAGAGGCAGGAGTTAACAGCTTCACATTGTTGGTGTCATGGATCTGAAAGTCGCGCTGGTTCACCTTTTTAGACCTTTAACAGTCACTTGTCACCCGTCAGGCAGCGGATGACAATGGAAGCGTTCTGTTATTCCCCCTTTTTAGGTAGTTATTTTCCTAGTTGTTTATGTCTGTCACCTGTCATGTGCTTCTGTGTGATTTCAGGATTCCCTTCAAGATTGGACAACCGAAGAAGCAGATTGTCTCTAAAACCGTAAGTCGCTTACTAGAACAAATGTTGACTCAATTAACTAATTAATCCAAAACGCTTAGTGCATGAACAAACAAAAAAAATCATGTTTCGGGAAGCTTTAACTGTAGTTGTTTAAGAAATGGTGTATACAACATGAACAGTATAATAAATAAGGTCATCAAAGTGCCTCACCAGAAAGAGGGACGTGTGACCCATGCAAGGGGGCAGAGTTGGTTACCTTGAAGTGACAGTGAGTGGGTGATCTCCTGGCTGGAGGAAACCACTTCCACCGTAATGGGTCTGTGGCCCGGCGGTAACTGTCAGACTGGGTTTCCTGCATCCTGTGCCATCCTAGGCCAAAACCAGGGAGTGGGTTAGAAGCAGCCCAGTTAGTTTATCCGCTGGTGACAAAATGTCAACTGCCCTCCTCGTTGTTCTAGCCGCCGTGTTTACATCCAGGAGCACACAGAACCACAAGACAGGAACCCCGAGCTCTGTCGCTGGAGACATGGTTGGACAAACTTGTTCACCCTGGGAACTAGATGCACTCAGGATGTTACCTCCGTTTCAACCCCTGGAACCCACTTTTGTTATAATTCCTTAGCTGTGGTCTGTGCCCAACGGCAAAGTTGGCTTTCTAAGAAAAGGACTTGCCCGAGGAACTATTGGCATGAATGTAAACGTGAACCTTTTTGAGGCAGGTTGAGTGCTCACGCAACCCTGGAGACTCCCATCAACTGTACATCATTTAATCAAACTAAGCACTTGTTGTCGTTATTATGTTTTATCATCTCAAAGTAAAAATGTCTTAATTGGTTGCTAGTCTAATTGACCTCTGCTTCTTTATAAACAGAATTCTTTTACCCAAATTTGATTCTCGGGACGTTTAGTTCCACGGATAATCCAATTGACACACGTTTATGCAATGCTATCACACCATTTTCACATGAATTGTGTTCTTCTTTAGGTTGAAAGAGACTTCGAGCGGGAATATGACAAGCTTCAAAAGTAAGTTTGCATTTTGAACCAAGTTCAATGTTAAGGTCGACAGATGTACTAGATGAGTCGAGCGCTCAGTACATCTGGGTCTTCTCTCATTGCACGGCGGAGGTTGTAGAAACTCCCCAAGGGCCCTGCAGAAGGAGTGGGAGCACCATTTGCCTCTCCGGTTTTGTTGAGTAGGAGGTCCCATTATCAGGAAGGTGTGGTGCCAATAGACCTTATAGATGAGTCAGAGCAGCGGGCCTGCACAGACTTATAGGTTCTCCGCCCTAGAGATCCATATCAACACACTGTGGTCCAAAATACTTGGTAGCCTTCTCCACGGTTGCTGTTTTTGAACCCCATCTGCCCGACAAAAGATTTTGGTGGAATTTGACTTTGGCATTTTTGTCCAAAATAAGTACACTTACCATGTGATGAATGCTTCTCGAAACCAGATAACTAATCGCCTACTCAACAGGTTACTCATGTCCATGTAAACAAGTTGTAATTTAATGGCTGGAAATAAATTCTCTTTAGATGTTCTCAAAAACTGACAAATTGTGTGATCAGACAAATGCTTGTCTGATCACACTCTTCACAGCCCATTGTCGAGGCCTACGTGGAATCATTGATTGAGGGTTTGAATGTGTGAAATGCCTATTGCTAAAGATCTGTAAGGTATTACAGCTGATATGGGTTATGAGACTCAGTTACTTCTAACTGGCAGAGAAGTACATGAAGTTACTGTGGAGATTGTTCTGACAGAGTGCTTTATTTAATGTTGTGTAAACAATACCGGACAAAGTTTACATCATTTATTCCAAATGACATTTTCGGGAACAACCTCCATCTGGTCCGTGGCGATTCAGTCCTAGAACACATCAAGCCAGACAAAAGGATGAGAAGGACGAGTTATGATAGGGAGTAATGACTGGTGTTTAGTTCCCCTTAGACCCTACATCCTCACAGTTTACCAGCCCTCTGTTAGTATAACAAACAAATGAATAAAATACCTTGCAGTTGCAGATCAAAGTCTAAAATAAAGCTATTACAAATGCATTTTGAAAACCATTCAATTAATTCATAATCAATTGTTAACCATCTTGTCACTTGGGATTTGTTTCATAGGATGGGGATTTTTTTCTTGTGTTAACATATTAAACAGCTTAATTAATAAATTGTTCATAACTAATAATAGTACTTTCTGGTACAAATGGCCAACCCCTTAGGTATAACATTTTGAAAAGTCTGCGTCGAGGCAGAGGCACGCAATCATGGTTCACACACACCTATGCTTATTAGTAATCCACTGTTTGTTTATTTACAAGCTGCTGAAAAATTACAAAACCTCCCTGTAAGTGGAGACACCAGGCTGCCTTTTGTGGGTTACCAGTGTCCTAAGTCGTGTGGCCATAGTGCCCCCACTAGAAATCCTTTGGATCACCCAGTTTTTGTCTTTCCTGTTAGAACAATACCTCAAAGCAAAGATGGAAATGAAAGCACCACAATCCCCTTTTCATCAAAAAGGAGAAATTACACGTCGGTCGTCTCAGGGGAGTTTCTAAACCTCTCATTTGCCTTAATTGATGTAATGAATGGCGTGTGTGTTCAGCCTCCATAGACTGGTAATTGCCATTTTTAACACCCATCAATGGAAAATGAGCACTGGAATGATTGAAGACATTAACGATTTTCAGAGGAAATGTGTTTGACAGTAACAAGAAGGATTCTCTGAATTATTAATTAGCTAACGGATGTTATAATAGCATTTTATGTGGAATCAATGAAATGTGTAATTCCTTCTTGAACCATGTCTTTTTATATATACTAATTTCCTTTTCTATGTTTTTGGTTTGGATGTTTTGCTATCAACACGTCTTTAATGGATGGAATCAATTTTGAAAAGTATATCAATTTTATATACAAATCTGAAGCCCTTGTACTTTTTCTGTCGGGTTTGGTATTTTCTTCTTTCTAATGCCATTGTTTGTTACTCATTGTAGCCTATATGTCCCATTGTTGCCAGTGTTGCTGATGCTTTACTGCTTATCCTTTCCAGAAGCTGGTTCACAATCATTGTCCTTTTTGTTTTACAGGCTGGAAGATCAGACAAAAAAGCTTCACAAGGACATGAAGAAAAGCACTGAGGCTGATTTAGGTGTGTTCTACCTCCAACGTGTGTGTTGCCGCCTGGTGGGCCATTGATCTACACTTGTTCACCAACATACTTGATGTTGCTTGGCAGGTTTTCGGGGCTAGAAATACTCTTTGGTTGTCTTGGTTTTTTTTTGGTGGTGCAGCAGTTCTCTGAACAACTCGACAAATGAGACGACACAATACAGGCCTTAATCTGTCAAATCTTTTTCCGTCCCTATCATGGTGTGTGTGTGTGTTTTGGATTTAATAGTGTACTGCTCAATCTGTCTACAATCTCTGGCCTCATTAATTCAAGCAATTGTTGGCCACAGACCCCATGTTTACTCTACTTTTTATTTGCTTGGTTGTTGGTTACGGTGTTGTGTACTTTTGGAAGCGGCAATAGACATGGCCTGTGGTAAAGTAGTCAGTTTGTGGGGGTGGAGGAGCGGGGACGGATGGAGGAGTGAGAGACTTCTTCATTTCCTCTCCTTTGTGCTCTGGAATATGGATGTTGGCATCATCAAAGCGTATTAGCCGTCAGTCCCTCATTACCGTTAATGGATTCCATCTGTTGCGCAGGTCCCTACTCCAACTACAGCTCCAAAACAAAGCACTGGACCTACTCGCCATGTCAGCGCTGCATTTAATAAACTCCTTTCTCTATTAACCATCATTCATCAAGTAAAGGGTGGTGACTTGCAGAACTCAATTAAACTTGCTTCCAATTAGCCGGCGAGAGACAATAATATATTTTGATGCTTGCTTCAGTAAGTAACAGAAATGCTGAAAGTGGCAGGGAGAGTTGTTCTCCCCATACGGAGGAATTTCTCGTCTGATTTCAGCCCCGTGTGATTACAAGTGACTTGAGCGTCTCTTATTTGCACCGTAGCAACCCAAACCTTAAATCGCTGACCTCAGGTCACCTTTTGCTCTTCATGACCCTGTAATAAAAATGTCTTTAGTCATGTGAGTCGAGGCTAAATCAAGCAATTTGTTACCTGTCAAATTGAGAAGGATGCAGAAGCGGCAACGATAATTGATTGGTTGAAGATCGGTCTTAAGAGGATCCTGAGGGAGTGTGAAAAGAGACCAATGCCTGTTCCAGATCTCCATGAAGCCCATTTCCCCCACAGCCTCACCTGTCAGCTCGTATCTCCTCAGTGAAGCTCATTTATTGAGACTGTGAAGCCATAATCTGATATGTGCGCTGTGTCTAAACAACGTGGCATGTGTGCAGATTAACAGTAATTGGAGCTGTCAGTATAGAAACATTGTACAGATTTTTGGTGCTCTGGTGAACATTCAACACGGCAGCCAGTCCCGCCAACCCCTCAGCTTTTCACAGTGTGGGCAGCACTGTGCCACTTGGCTGTTCACTGCTTTCACAAAAGATCACAAACAAAGACACGGAGGAACCGTTGATGACATTTTTTAAATTAAATTGAAAAAATCCCCCAAACCTGGCGTTGGATTAGAACGTGTATGTTACGATCTATTCTTTAACCATTTACATGGCTTGTAGTCGGCAGGATGTTTTACCTTTTTAACATCATTGTGTGTCTGTGTGTGTGTGTGTGTCAGCCATGTCCAAAGCAGCAGTGAAGATCTCTGCAGACCTGCTGAGCAACCCACTGTGTGATCAAGACCAGGCCTTCGTGGACTCCATGACCGCCTTAGATACCGCTATGAGAAGGATGGACTCCTTCAACCAGGAGAAGGTCAGACCCATACCCGCCCAAGTCTCCCACTCTTTTCCTTTTTCAGTGTGCTTTTCTCACTCTTTTGCTGTGTTCTGCTGCTTTGTTTCCTTGGCATTCGCCATTGGCACGGATACCATTATGATGGCACCGGGGGAAATGTCTTTCCTCAGACATACAAAGTAGGAAACTAAGCGGGTTCTTGTTGAAAATGCATGTTTTCATATCTGTCAATATTGTGCAGCCTGTGGACTAAAAACTATCCGTATGCCTTTCCTTCTGCTGCTTTTTGAAAAGCATCTGTGGCATCATCCTCTATAAGCTCAAGCTACTGGTTATCAGCTGTGAAGATTGATGCACTTGTGACTCACTGGTGTCTAAAATAACTCGTACAATGGAAAGGCCTCTTTTTCAACAGGAAAAGCCTGTATGTCCTCTCACAAAATCTATAGAAGTACCTCTATGCTGATGGCTTCCATAGCGAACAAGGGATCCGTTGTATTACTTATTTCAACAAACCTCTAACTTGAAAAATGTTTTTTTCTTCTTCTTCACGAAGAACAGCAACTGTTATCAGCTTTACTTCACAACACTTATATAAACATCTCAAATCCCATTTTTGTTGGTGGAACCAGAGGAGCGCCATCCACAAACCTTCAAATTGTACACAGTCCAACTGGGGAACCGTAACTGAAGCTTCCATCCGAAGACCACAAATCTATACAATATTGTCCATAACATCCATGACTTACCTTTTCCCTCATATTACACTTTGGCGTTTTGATAGTATTGTGTTTTGAGTATTTGTTCATGTGCTCTGTTTGCTTCCACTCTTGCGTGTTTTGTCCTAAGGGGTAACCGCACAGAAGTCGGCATTTCATTCCAGGACTATCTCACAGACGTACTTTGTGAAGTTCTCTTCTTTAGCTATCAGGGAAGATATCAGATTATTTGCCAGGTGCACTTCTGGTTTTGTGATTAGAATCATCGCCGCGGGTGTTATGAAGTGAATCATAGTGGCCTTGCATCTGTGCATCCACAAGGCACTACACTGAAGGGCCGACTTTTAAAGAGGAAAATAATACAGCAGTTTGCACTGCGCGTATACCAACCAGTTTTTTTTTTTTTAAATCATTGCCCTGCTGTTTGTTGTTTTGAGCTTTTTCCATTTGTTAATATCCAGTGTACCAGAATGATTTTATAAAAAATTTTATATTTTCGGCCTCAACTTTCTACTTTCATACAAAGTGATCTAAATTTGACAAAGAGAAAAAATAATTGTAGCGAACATCATTTGCTGTAAGTGGATTTAAGTCACTTTTTTGTTTCTCTCCTTTCTTCTGCAGCTACAACACACCGGTCTGTCAGACATGGCTTTTGGTCGCAACTCATCAAATTTTACAGGAGCCATTTTGAGTGACTAGACAAAGTAGAGAATGTGGGTTTGGATGGAGCGTGTGGGTTTGTGACCCGGGGTGCGTATATGTTCCAGAACTTTCAGAGCAGAGGAGTGCAATCCTGCCAGTTTAACTCTTTTCAGTATAGAGTAACTTTTGCATTCTTCAGACTTTTATACAAATTGGGAAGAAAATGTTTCGCCAGTGTTGCCACACACTTGACTTTCGTTGGATAAAGGGTGTGGGTTACCTCTGTTTCTCCACGTCGTTTGAAGAGTAAAGTTATTCAGATTCTCTCTGAAGAAGACTCTCCTCACTGTCATCACTCGGTCATCTCACATCTCTGTGATTTGTGTTTTCACATTTGAAGCAGTCTCTAACAGCAAAAGGTATACGGTCTCTTTGCAGACATTGATTCAGCTCGGCACTTCTATTTCAATCGTGGAGGACAACAGTCTCCAACATTATTGACGTGGTTGTATGTTTTTGTTTCTTTTTTCCACACTTTAATCCAGATTGTTTTTTTTACTACAAGGTCACACCTGATTTTCTCTGCACCTCTTACTCCCTCTTACTAAATAAAAATCCTCGCCTTAACACACTGTTCCGTTCCTGGTTTGGGCAGGGCTGTGTGGCTGAAAGTGAGCTGAAGGCTAAATAGTGATTGTGAGAACTTTTTTGGTCAGCCCGCTATGTGGAATATCACCCCAGGTTTGCTAGGTGTTTAAAACCCAGCTCCGCTCGACGCGGCTCGAGCTTCTCCCTTCAAGCCGACTGTTGATTCTGACGGCACCGACAGCAAACCCTGTTGCTCCTGCAAAACAGACACAAAAGCATCCACCCTTTGCTCTTCTCGGCGCTGAGACGAGCTGTTCTGCCGCGGGGTCCGCAAGTGAGAGAGCCAGCAGATAAAACGTGCAGCGATAATGAAGGCAGCAGTGGCCCAGGTCTGTGCGTTTTATTTCTGGGGCTGAGGAGGGCGCACAGCCCCGCCGGCACACTGCTGTCGAAGCTGAGCCCCAGCGTATAGATGGCGGCGGCGCAGCAGAGGATGCTCCGTTTGGAGGGATATTGATTTCCTCTGCGATCTGTGTGTATTTTTGGGAGGCCTGTGTGCCGGGATGGCCTCTGCCCCGTGACTCACTGATGGAGACTACTGCTTGAGCGCCGGGCCTCAGGCTCTGCGGGGCCTCCGAGGAATAGCTCTGCACCCCCCCCCCCCCCCCTCCCTCCTCCCCTCTCTCATTGGGGGAAGGGGCAAAGGGCAGAAGGCACAAGCTTGCTTAAGCAAATCTGCCGCTGTTGTTTTCCCTCCTCGCCCCATGCTCTCACTTAGAAGCAGCGGCGCAGCTCGAGTGAGGGCACGGGGGAGGAGGGGGGTGAATATGTAAAACAAAGACAATGTGAATTCCCATGTACTCATTTGTTATTGGTTCTCCGTTTTTCCCTCAGACCACAATCAACCATTTTGTACTTTGGAGATGTGCCTGCGTGAAGCAGTGAGTGTTGCTGTATGTTCTCAGAGACGGTCAGGGGCATTTTTTTTTTTGCAGAGCACAGCTGCGATCTTCCCTCCTTGTTGTTGTGTGATTGACTGTCCTTCCAATAGCGAGTGAACATATGATTAGTGGAGCTGCTCACTATTATCATGCAGCTGTCACTTCACATCTCTCGGTTTTTAAAAAACATTCTCCAGCTCTGTTCTTAGTATTTGCTCTCCACTTTACCCGATTGCCGGATTAACTTAACAGTCTGTCATTCGGCGAGATCCAGCGGTAGCAGTCGTTTTGAATCTGCAATGTAAATTACGTTGGAAACTTTATTAATTGTGCGCCAACTTCTGTCGATGAGACTTGGTGCCGGGGCTGGAGGCCTCGTGGTGAGATGTTCATTTACTTCCATTTAACACCCCCTTCCCCCCCTCCTTCCCTCCCCTGTCAGTTCAGGCAAACAGAAGGAGAATGCAGAAAAATATAAACTGTTATTGTTAAAATGTTTGTTTGCAAAGAACTTTCATCTTGTAAGGCAGCCCACCCTCCACAGGATTTGAAATCAGTTGGGCTTTGCTTTCATGTCCTTCCCCTGACAGTTCCATCCTTTTGTATCGCTGGCTCGATGAATATTCAGGGGTTTCTCCTCGGGGCTTGTGTACAATAAAACAGTCAACGTCATGAAAGTTTCTTTGCAAGGCGCCCCCCTCTTTCCCCCTCTCCTTTTTTTTCTTCTTGAGTGCGCCGTTTGAAATATACACAATTGTAGATGTTTGTTCAGTGGCATTACTTTGCAGTAAATGAGTGAGCGATGTAGATGCTAGTGTGTTCCAACTAGTGTGCTCGATGTAACCCAGATTGACAATGCATATCTATTTGTAAAGTCTCTGTAGAAGTGCTTTTTGCTTGTGTTAACAATTTATTATTATTTTATTTTTTTATTACAGGTCAACCAGATCCAGAAGACCGTTATTGACCCGCTGAAAAAGTAAGTGTCCGTCTTCATTTCTTGAACTTTTATCTGTGTCTATATTTCAAGGATTTGCATCGAATGACACTCGACATCAGACCAGGGTTCAATAGTAGTTGGTCCGACAAGTTTAACACTTGTTTGGTGCAGGGTGAAAAAATTCACAAGAAAGTATTGTAAAGTTGTAATAGTTCACTGTTCATTCCTGTTAAATCCATAAAACGCACTGTTGAGCTTAAGTCAAGTTCCTTGTAACATTTGTATTATTGACGCAGTTCTTGTTGCACTGGGCAACAGAAAGGCCTGAAGTGTAGCACAGACTGTTAAAATGAACCGAAGAGTGAGGGGTGCTGTGATGGTAGTGCGTCTGGAAGAGGGTTTATACGGTGCTCATTCCTAATATTCGCCCCCTTGTGAAAAGGCGGTAAATGCTATTCCATTTGTAATGCCTCCTTTTTTTTCAACACACACACACACACACACACACACACTGTACTTGCACATGCAAAGCAGAGGTACTGGAGGGAGTGGTTGGACTACCCCTCCTTGCTTCCGGAGTGCTTGTTAAGGATTTGCTTCCTCCTCTTGGCTCCTCCCAGGAGATTGATTATACATATGCTCTCATAAAGAGCATATGCTTATGTTTCAATTGCAGGTTTATGTTGAGCTCAAGAAGCTTGTTAGTTGTTGTTGTTTTTTTTAATGTAAAGATATTGATCTGTTAAACAAATTGGTTGTGTGTGTGCGTGCGCGTGAGTGCGTGGCGGAGCAATGACAGGATGGAATGGTTCTAATTTCCTCTTCCTGGTGGGTGGAAGGCGGACGTGTGGGCAGGCTCAGAATATGGCAAAGGGCCCAGAGCCGCGGATTGGTTGAGGAGGGGAACTGTCTCAGGACAGCGCACACACACTCTCTCACACACACACACACACACACACACACACACACACACACACACACACACACACACACCAAAACAAACTCTTTTGGGGGGGTTTCTGTCTCACAAATATGGTATTCAAGACCATGAAGTTGGAAATGTACATGATTCTGTAATAGAGCTGAGGATGTTAGTTCATAGACAAGTTTTGAAGCCAAGCTAATCTGGCTTCTACATTAACTTCTTTCCCCTCCTCAAAGACGCTGCATTATTAATTATTAGTTTTGTTACTAAATGTCTTCTATAGACAGACGCAAAAGCAACTATACTTAAAAGCCTCCATTAAGGTTCCATTAGTCAGTCACTAATTAATATTTTTCATTCTTTACTCAAAATACTCTGATTTTGTCATCATGAAGAGTTGAAAAGTAGAACGTTGGTGTTAATGGAAGATCGTGTGTGTGTGTGTGTGTGTGTTAGATATGTGCTTGTGTTCCTGCCATTTAAGGTTTTGTCATTTTTAGTACTTGGTTTGAAACTAATGAAAACTCTCCTCCTCGCTCTCGGGCTCAGATGGGAGTTCTGTCCACCCAGCGGGGTCACTCGATGACGTGACTTTGTTTGTGTGAGGGGGGGAGTGCGTGGGCACGGAGGCATTCGTGTTATCTAGGCCTCCTAACCGAGCCCTTTCTGCTCCGTTGCTCTTCTGGGTGAGACAGAAGTCAAGCCTGTTTGGAGACCTCAGTCCCGGGTCAAGCTGTGACTAGACGGGCCACATGATTCACGCCTTCCAATCAGAGGAAGGATCTGTGGAGATGATGAGATCTCTCGGGGGGGGCAGTAGTTTATTTTTGTTTGATCTGGTGTTTCGTGTTTCCAGGCTGCTTGAGTTGTGATCAACAACGCACAGGGCAAGTTACAGCAAGATGAAACTCTCCTTGTGGGACAATAGAGGTTCTGCTGGCACGTACGTCACACACCCGCAGGTTCCCATGGCCCGCTGCTCTCAAACCACGGGTACTTGCTTAACATGGGCAACGCAATGTACCGTGTGAGACATTTTTCAGTCTTCCGTCTAAGAGTGTGATACTTTAGTACATAAACCCTTTTCCGTTTTAGAGTGGTTAACGTTTTGTTTTTCGCAGCGAGTTATGTCATGTTGATGGTCAAACGGGACGGCCTGCCTCCTGGACTGAGCGTGTCTGGACCAGAGCCGCTCATAAACAGACTTTCTGGTCCAGATGCTATTTCCATCCAGCTTGCTCACCACACCCTGACCCGTCACATGTTTGGTGGTGAGCCCTCGGCCCGCGTAGGACCTCAGCCAGACAGGGCCGGGCCCCAGATGTAGGCCTAGCCGGCTGACTGGTAAGCCGTCCAGCCACGACCTGGACATCGAGGGGAAACGTCACCTTCGACCAGGGCCGCTGCTGCGCATTCTGGCGTGGGAGCCTTTGGCACAGCTGAGTCACTATGCCGTCTGGACACAGTGAGCCCTGACGACTGAAAGCATCACGGATGGGACAGGAATGGGTTAACAAGTGATTTGGCTCGGCGTCTTGCTCTTCCTCCTCCTTCAGCACCGGGAGAGCTGTGGCTCTTTAGTGCACTGAAACCGAGCAGTTTCTGGCAGTGTTGTCCCACTTTTGAGAACAAAACGCATGCCATCACGATGTGTCATGAGGAAATTGCTCTGCGCCTGTCAGGTGAAGTGCGTTAGCGAGGATGCGATCAGCCTCTGTCACCTGAAAGCTGGTTGGCTGCTGCTGCGGTGTTATCAGCCAATAGTGTTGGAGAGGAGTCATGCCCAGAGGGCAGTGACATAATCCCTTGGCACTTCAAGCATGTGTACACTGGAGCAGATAGTAGACTTTAGGACCGGCATCCACTCCTGCCATAAACTGGGCCAAAGTGGGGTTTTATAAATAGCAGAGGAACGTGGGCTGTCGGGCTTGGCTGAGCGGAGCTGCGTGATGTCACTCCAACGCTACAAGACCACTCCTTGCCTAACATCCTGTAGGAAACAATCCTTACTTGTCTGACTGGGACTAGGCTTCACTTTCTACGTCTCGCTCCCCGCCCCTTTGCCCTCTGCGAAGGTGTGCAGGCCCGCAATCTAGGATTTCACAATCAAATCCACAAGTTCTCAGTGGCTCCCTCGTCTGCTGCACAGAGCAGGACACTGGTCGACACGGAGAGCCACGTTAATCATAAACCCACGGGCAGCAGAAGCTGACATAGTAAACAGTTGTAGTATTGTGCCTACACAGGTGATAAATGGGTCATTCAAAAGCACTTTATCTCCATCTTCATTACAAGCGTTCTTGTTATCTGTTATACTCTCGCTTTATGAAAACACTGCCACTGGTTTGTGTCTACATGTTAGAAAGATTGAGTTTCTTGTTGAGTCGGTAGTAATTTGTTAATGACTGCTGGGGATTTTAATACAATACGGTTTTATTTCCTCTTCACATTTGTTGTATATTCTTAGATTTATTTTAGTTTATTTAATAATGACTCATTTTATAAGAACAAATACAGCTGGGAAGAGAGATTATCGTGTTGTATATGTTTGCGTGATAATTTTATGTGATCATGTTATTAATTATAAATATTATTTGATTGGATATTCACTATGTACAGTATTCCTGCTTCCCATTAAAAGCAAACACAAAACCAGTGCAACAAGTCCCAGGATAAAGCTCACACTCCTGTTGCTAAGTTACAGATGAGTGTTTCCCTATTTCCAGTGCTGAAGACTAGGATTCTCATTGGAAGAATATATTTTCATTTTGAATATGATAATTGTCACAAAATGAATCGTTTCATGCCATTTTGAACTACAGTAATTAGATAATAGATTAGAGGCAGCTTAAAGCAGAGCTGTCCTCTGGGGTTTGAGAGTAGCTCTACAATAAGATGTTTAAGAGAGGCATTTTATTCATTCGTAATGACTTTTATTAACATAGGATGCCGTGCAGAATGCATGTCTATGAATTTCATAGAGCAATCTGCTTTATGGGTTTTAGTCATTTCAGTTTCTCCCCAGAAAATTCAGAGAAGAAAAATTGTTTTCTTTTCTTCCTTTTGAGTACTCTGATGTGAGTGTCCGGGTTTATCTGCTTGCACACAGGTATGCTTGTGTGTGTGTGTGTGTGTGTTTTGTTTTAGTGCACGGCGGTGTTTAAGGTTGTCTGTGTCCCGCTTTACCGCAGGTACAGCGGCGTCTTCCCCAGCCTCAACATGGCAGTGAAGCGCCGGGAGCAGGCTCTGCAGGACTACAAACGCTTGCAATCCAAAGCGGAGAAGTACGAAGAGAAAGACAAAACCGGGCCCGTTATGGTCAAACTGCATCAGGTACCGTGAGCTTAATGCTTGCACTGTGCACGTGTCGGTCCACTCCATTGCTCCCTCTACCTGCAGAAGGGCAGAGTTCACTTGCTCTTACATGTTGCGCATATTGTGAATAGGGCGCAATAAGTGGAGAAAGACACAAATGCTGACTGGATACGAACAAAAATAGTTGAGCACATGCACGCTGTACATGTGCGCTCCTTCACCCACGCAAGCTACCAGGCTCTCAAGTAGTGCCTTTTCAAAAAGGCGCTGCTGCACATCTACAGGCATGTAATTGAGAATTGTAGACACACGCATACACACACCGTGAGGCCACTGCAGAAGCGCACACATTCACAGATAGCGCTGCAGTGCTGCCTGTGCTTTTGCTTCTAACACATCCTCACATGGACGAGCCACCCACACACATTGAGAAAAGCACTGTCAGGGGAACAAAGCCTTGGAAGAGGCCCCTACATCCCTGCCCTTTGAATCCCTGTGCACTTAAAGAAATGATCCTGGGAAAACACTTGTATGCCTTTTTTAACTGGTTTTTGTAAAGAGAACCAACTAATGTGAAGAGCACATACCATAATGCAGTAGATAAACGCTATGTTGCAGTTTTAATGAAGCAACACCCTCACCCCCTTTTCCGTTATGAAATATCTCTTCCCCTCGCACATATTCATTGTGCATTCCATAACTACAATCCTACAGTAGACTACCCACTAATACATTCACACACACACACACAGATCAGTGGTGCTGGAGTCCACTCACAGCCAAGTCTGCCCACATAACCCACTCCTCCTCACTGTGGTCGTGATTACAGCCTTTTTTTTTTGCACTGCTTCTCCGTGGGAATTAGACAAATCTTTCTGAACAATGAGAAAGACACGAAAGACGCTCTTTTGCCCAAATTCTTTAAACTAACTCGTTCCCATTTGTGGTTATTTGCTCTTGTCAAAATCTGACAATGTTATGTAAAATTACAAGTAAAAAAATGGACAAGTGCTAATGAGTTCTTTTGTTTGCTCGCTGCCCTCCACACCCCCCCAGGCCAGAGAGGAGCTCCGACCGGTCAGGGACGACTTTGAGGTCAAGAACAAGCAGCTGCTGGACGAGATGCCCAAATTCTACCACAGTCGCATCGACTACTTCCAGCCCAGCTTTGAGGCTCTGATCAGGGCGCAGGTTAGTGATTCCCCCCCGCCCCCTTACGGAGAAACACAAACTATAATACGCTCGTGAATGCACGCACATACACACCCCACAGTGTCTGTTACGCCCTCCAAACGTTGATTAGACAGTGGACGAAGTGTCTGATGGGAGGAAGTGTATAATTGTGGCCGTCTGTCTCCCTCCACGCTCGCCTAATGTGATTAACCCCCCCCAGTGACGGCCCACACTGCTGTGTTCAGCCCAGTGAGGCCTCGTCTGTCTGGCTCCACCGCGGCCCTGCATGTCGTCCTCCAACCTGAAGCTGCTCTTAAAGCAGCTGGGCGTTTCAAGTTAGCGCCACCATGTCCCCCTCCCCCACCCCAGACCTGGCTGGCCATGTCATTTCCTCTATGGGACAGTCGCTGGCACACTCCTAATCAGTAAACTTGATTATCCTGGTCCTAATGACAATTATGGAGTTCTATGTTGTACTTTGAACTCGAAAATTAGAAAACTGAAGAATCTGTTAAGACCAATAAGAATAAAGACCTGAGCCACGGTCGAGATTTTAACCTGGCTTCGCAGGGCGCGACGTTTGTTATCATTCAAACTTATGCCTTTTTGTATTCCCGTATCTCCAAGCACATGAATGAGCATTTACACATGTTTACACACACACACACACACACACAGCCACACGTGGGTGGCCAGTGGACCTCATCCCAGCCTGCAAGTACTTGGTTTCATCCTCCACTCCCTTCTCTCCCAGCCGCTGTTGCTGCTCGGCTCCCAGCGGCAGCAGGAAAAGGCACAAGGCTGCCTTTGTTGTGAGCCTGCGGTCTCACTATCACGAGTCCCGTCCTCAAACTGTCAGTGGGACGCTTGGCTTGGCCTTGTCCACCTGTACAGATGTTGATGAATTGAGACATTGTCTCACAGTTTTGTATTCTGCGCTCCATGTGTTCTTTAAAAACATTTGAAAGATTGCCTTCTTTGTCATTTTCTCAGTTGTGTTTCTTTGACTCCTGAAACCGTGGTCACACAATGTTTTGAGGACGTAGTGGATAGAATGCAGCATACATTATTCATTATCTTTGTGGGCTAAAAGGTCAAAGTGTAACTTCCCAGTATACATATTAAGCAGCTGAGACAGTGGTATGTTAAAATGTCCAGACACAAGACATTTAATTTCAAGCTCTGCTTCAGCCAAAGACGCCTTTTTGTATTGTAGGTGGTCACAGGCTGCGTTTACTCCTCCCGGTGAGTGGACTAATTATAATAGCTGAGTGTCTTTGCTCCAGAGGCCACTCAGAAGCTGATCTGGTGTACATTATCATCACTGGTCAAATGGACATTTCCGATGGCCCTTTCAACAAGCCGTTTTGAGCAAAAGAATATCCGCTTTACCCCCTCAAACAGCAGTAACCCGATACTTATGGCCCACTCATGTGGTTTAGGTGGCAAATGTTGGTATAAACATACAGAGGTCTTTCAGGCTGAGCACTTAAAAAAGCTTGTACAAGGTGGTTCGGAAACTTGACTTGTTGTTCCTTTGGGGTCTGACGTTGTCAAATCTGTTCATGACAGAGTGAGGCAAATGTTAGTTCTGTATAAGATGCACGACTCCTGGTTATTTCCTGCTCAACCGAGCCCTGAGTCGGTTGGGATGTAGTAGGTTGGTTGGTTGCTGTTGCTGTTTGGGCCGACAATAGGACACACGTGTAATTTCTGAGAAGTCTATGGTGCCCTTGAGTGCGTGGTATCAAATGCATCGCTGCGTGAATTAATATGAAGATGTGTGTGTGTGTGTGTATGTGGGGGGGAGGAGGTTTAAGGGGTTGTATTTCCCAGTACTTTCATTCTCTGCCTACTCTTCTGGAGTCTTGTAATGTGATTAAAGTCTATTAATCATCAAAGCAACTCTCTAGGGAGCTTGACTCATGAACTGTGGGGAAGAAGCAGGGGTGGGAAGTGTCAAGAAAGCTTTCAGTAAACACTCTCTATCTCTTGTTCAGATCGGGAGAGAAAAGCAGGGTCACTACCCACTGAAGTATCGGGGTTTTTGGGGCTTTGTCGGAGTTGTTTGATATCCGTGGGCTCCCTCTTCTCCTTTCAAATCACTTCTCATTAGCAGAGTTGAAGAGGTACGAGACCAGCAGCTTCAGACTAGCGTGAGTAAGAGCAAGGTTAGATCGTGCTAGCAGAGTCCGGATATGAATCTGTTGGAGTTTTTCCCCCTCAGAGGCTTGTAAGAAAGGTCCGTGGACCCTCCCCACTTTCCATCTGACAGGACCATTTTCTTTTCCCCTCCCCGCTCCCCAGGTTGTCTACTATACCGAAATGTACAAGATCTTCAGCGAGTTAACGGACCAGATCGACCAGGCAGGGCTGACAGACGAGCAGAGGGAGAGGGAGACCGAGGCCAAGCTCAGCGAGTTGCGTGCTCTGTCCATTGTTGCCGACGACTGAGGGAGGACCGTCGAAAACCGGGAAGGGTTCCTTTCATGCCTCTCTGAATGGATTGCAGTCTTTTCATGCTCCTTCGTGCAGTTCAAACGGACGGCATTAGCCTTAACCTGATAATCAGATTGTTTCCTTGCGGCCTCATCGCCCCCCCTCTCCCCCCACCCCCCTCCTCTTGCGCTACAATCCCATGTTTTATCCTTTCTACAGACACTTTCTACAGAAGCTGAAATGCCACATTAAACTAAGCCATTAGCCACGTGCAGCATTATAAGCCAATGTTTTTTTTCTTAATTCTTTTTTTTTTTTAAGGAATCAAACTGTTCTCGTCAGAACTAATTTACAAGGGTACACTTTGTGGTGACAGAGTTGACTATTAGCGTTTGCTTCTAGAGCAGGAACGTTTTCATTAGTCACATCTGCAATGTCACTAAGAAATTTTAAAACTGTCTTTTAATGGCCTACGTTTTAAACAATAAAAACTACAGGTGGAATGTTATGCAATATACTGTAGGTTCCCGGCAATAAAATGTAAGTGTGTATTTCGGCCTTTGGCGAAGTCCAGCATTGTGCCATGTTATGAGGCCTTGTCATTGGGGTTTATTAGAACGGTTTGACAATCACCTGCGCATGAAGTGCCTACGTTGTGCTGCCTGTGGACGGAGGTTGTGCAGCAGTGTTGAAAGGTCGACCACTCGCACCCGAAGAGAACAAGCTGCTGTATGAAGTCTGATCAAAAACAAAGGCTGGTGCTCCCTCTAGTGGAAGATATCAATCATAACCGTTTATACTTTTTATTCACACATCCATCCTTTTATGTTGTGGTTCCGTTTGTCTGTTAGCAACACATTTCCATGAGTTTTGAACCAAATCATTGCACTCCTGTGTTTCCATCAGGTACGGCCTCAGTATCGACACGTATGACCTGTGGATACACACGTTGTTCCAATATCATGTGAAGGGGTTTCATACCAAGAACTTAACTATTTATTCTTCCACATATTTTCAAATTACTAAAACAAATAGTGAGTTTTTATTTTACTTACACATGTGCATTAATGAAGGTTTTGGGAAATAATGAAGTTAAGTGAAGAGAAATCTTCACACCAAGTAATTAATAGACTAGACCAATTTTCTTTCATGTATTGTACTAAATCTGTGAAATTATGAATTTTCAACCATCATTGTAATGTATAGTCTATTGTGAAATAAATTAACTGAGAATAGCTGTGTGCTGTGTGTCGTATTTTTGCCGAGAATTGAAACCACAAAAGAAATCCGTTACTAATCTTTATTTGTGTTCAGCTTCTTTACTGGAACTAGTCAGTAGTGTCCTGTTAGCGAATGTCCTATGCAATACGTACAGTTCAACCTTTCAAGTCATTTAGTTTTCATGTGATGATTACATGTTCACTTGTTTATGAAATCTTGCAGAACTGGCAGGAGGAATACCCAGTAGACGCGCTCGATCAAGAGTGTTCATGAAAAGCTTACGTCAAGGTGATACAAGGGCCCGACAACTCTAAAGTTAAGTTCTTAAAAAGATCAGGACTGTGTGAATTGGATGTCTAACTTAAGGTCTGTGCAGGTTTATTTGTATCTCTACAACTATACAATATTTATGTATCAGTAAAATCTCCCAGTCAGTTACAACTGTGAGTGACCTAGACAACAGGGAAATTGGAATTTAAAACAAAGTGGTTTGGTCCCAATCTGTTATTTTTCATGTGAAGTTAACACAGTAGAGATGTATGCAGCAGGTGGATTTGAATGAAAGACTGATTCCAAATGATCGTTGTATATTTTTAAATAAGGCAGTGTCTTGTCCTGTGTCCCTGTCCCTTATTTTTTGTTATCCCTCATTGGACACCAGTGACCTTAGTGTGTGGCCTCCCTCAAAAGGCCGTCTTGCTGTACATGCTTGATATTTGTATCTGAAAGGTTCTGCGGATGTCAGCGCGTCTGCTTTTGAGCGTCGGGGTGAGAAGGCCGTTGGCGATGCTGAACGTCTCTGGATGCAAATGAAGGTCCTTCACCTGAGAGAAAGGTGGAGGACAAAAGCACAACAACGGTGAGTCTTGTAAAGTTGGTTGGTTGCAGATTTTCATCGAGCCCAATGTCAGCAGAGACTCCTCACTTGTTCAAAGGACTTTAGCCCCGCTTTCTTCCCCACCGCGTTCATGTCCTCCAATACTGCATTCTTCAAATCCTATTGAAAGATCAATAACTCAGTTTTGTCTGGGATGATTGCAAAAAGGTAAAATGGTTAAGAAAGTTTGCTTTAGATGACCTACAGGGTTCTGGCAGAGCTCTTCATAGGATCCCACAAATCCTCGGCCTTTAGCCCAATCCACAAACACCTCAGGATCAGGTACGACTATGCCTATGAGATAAGACTGGTGACACAAAATACAAGAGAAAAATGAAAAACCTGAAGCACAGAAAAAATGTTTTTAAAAACCGATAAAGTCCATCAAATTGTACCTGTAAACTGTCTCCGTGCACAAACACCTGCAGCACAGGAACACACCGCGTGTAGACGTTTTCGATCTTCTCTGGGGCGATGTACTCGCCCTGGGACAGCTTGAAGATGTGCTTCTTCCTGTCAATGATGCGAAGCGTCCCGTTCTGGCAGAAGACACGCGGGGGACACTTCAGTCTAAAAGACGACAGCTGACAGCGTCAAGCTAATTGCTGTGTGCAATCTTACTGGAAGCCACTGGCCCACGTCGCCGCTGTGCAGCCAGCCGTCGCTGTCCAAGGCTTCGGCCGTCTTTTCCGGGTCCTTCAGGTAACCTCTGAACACACTGGGCCCGCTGATGCAGATCTAACAGGACAAAGCCGGGATGAGCGTCAGTCCATCTCTGCGCCGCGTGATGCGGCGGCGTGCGTCACAGGTCGCCTCACCTCTCCATCGCCGTTCTTGGCGTAGTAGTTCATGTCGGGGATGTCCACCAGCTTCACCCTGGCACAGGGCAAAGGAGCACCGACATGATCTGACAAGAGAGACACACCCACATGGAGGACAAGAGCAACCAGCACCGAAGCACGAGCGGATGGGACGGCGTCTCACCCGCGCTCCAGTCTCCCGGCATGGAGAAGGTGCAGCCTGCGGTGCACTCGGTCTGGCCGTAACCCTCAAAGATCAGACAGCCCAGAGTGGCTCTGAGGAAGGACAGCACAGTGGGGGAGATGGGTGCTGAAGCAGTCAGGGCAAACCGCAGATTACCTCCTAAACTAGCCTGAAACACAAGCGGTGGGGTATTTATGGAAAACGGGTCAAACGTAAACATATTGTGGGTACAAACAAAATTCTGTTTTCAACCTACACTGGATCTTCCCATCTGTATTTGACCAGAATAAGCCAAAATCTGTGTGTGTGTGTGTGTGCGCATTCTTCTCCAATACCCTCCCACAGGACCAATATGCCGTGTGTGAATTTGGCATTGGATACTGGAATAGTTGTGGGCCTCTTGTAAATATATTTGCCTGACTGCTGGTCTACATGTACCGATACAAACAGTGGCAGATAAGCAGTCCTGGATTAACAAAACGGGGGGAAAACCCATCGGGCGGATTCCCAAAGAGGCCCGTAGGTCTTTACTCCAGACACACGTTACCCCGACAGAGCACGTGGCAAAACAAGATCCAGGTGGATACAGCGTGGAGCTCCCAGTAAACGGACCTGAATCCTGTTGAACACCAGTTTGTCCCACAGACTGTCGTTGCGGACGACGCCACTGCTGAGCTCGGCCTGCTTTCTCCTCACGGCGAAGTGAAGCAACGCCCGTCGCAGCGGAGAGGTCGCCGAACTCAGGATCTTTCGTCGAAATCGGCACAAAGCGGAAACCAGGGTTAAAACGTCGCCGAGCGGGTGCCGGGTTAACAGTGACAAGAGGTCGATTTACCTTGTCATAGATTCGATTGAGTAAACGGGGAACAACGGGAAAGAAGGTGGGCTTGAGAGTTTTAATGTCATCCATTAGAAGAGAAATGTCACCTTGGTAGAACCCTACTCTGGCCCCGTGGCAGAACATGGTCACCTGTGACAGGAATAGACTTAGCTTAGAGTTAACACACTACAAAGAAAGGGGGAAAAAAAGTCTTGAAAGAGCATCAGCTACCTGAATCATCCTCTCGAACATGTGCGCAAGCGGCAGGTAAGAGATGGAGACATCGTCTTGTTGGATTACAAATGAACCCTGAGAGAAAAACAACAAAAAAAAGAAAGTTAGAAAAGCACAGGGGAGAGATTACGTTCAGGAAGCCGGCATACGGCAAAGCTCCGCAGGCAATCAAACATGCTGCATCTTCTTCTAAAAGCAGTTAGATAGCACAATCTCTACACCGGGTAATTAGTCACAGTACCTCGCATCGTCAGGGGCCATCAAATAGGCAATTAATCATACCATTAGACCCAGCGGGGAGAGGGACAGTTTGCAGGTATGGAGACAAGCGGGTGGGAAGTGATGTTAGCTGTGAGGCTGTTCTCAATTAGACAAGGAGGTGGAAGTGTAGACAGACCTCCAGGATCTTAATGACAGAGGAAGTGTTGGAGGCGATGTTGCCGTGGGTGATCATGGCTCCCTTGGGCTTCCCTGGATAAATAAACAAGGCATTATTGCAGTGCCCCGCGCGGCAAAAGGAAACTACAGCTGTGCCATAAAGAAAGATTGTTAGTGGGCACCGAAGGGCACTTCTGGAATGATGCGAGTGAAGGATAATCACACGGAGAAGAACGAGCACGTTACCTGTGGTTCCACTGGTGAAGCAAACCACGGCCAGATCCTGAGGCTGGGGCGGCTACGGCGAGCAGCAAAAGAAATATGAGAAAATGAACACAGGCTTCCCCCACTTCTAATTGGAAGTGCTGGTTAAAAGTGAGTGCTAATGATATCTTATTGGACAGGAGCGATGGGAAAACTGTAATCCCAGTATTTAGAGGGGGATTCGCCATTTACTCAAACCCAGTTGGATGCAGTTATGCAGCAGCTGTGATAAACTCACCACCGGATCTTTGAGCTTCTGCCTTCCCAGATCCTAAGATGTGGACAAAGAGGAGTTCTAATATCAGTCGACACATCACCATTGAGGACTAAGTTAAATGAGATAGAGGTGTTTGTCCCCCCCCCCCTTCCCCACTCTCTCTCTGCTCACCATGAGCTGGTCTAGTTTCAAAACCTCCACCTCGCAGTTCTTCGCCCTCTGAACAAACGTGTCGCTGAAACGGTTGAAGAGAACCAGGCAGGAGAGCTTTGGGGTCACGCCTCGCTCCTTGTTCTCCAGCAAAGCTGCGGCCTTCTCCTCCCGGTCGCAGATCACCAGAGAGATCTCCGCTAGCAACGGCCCCAACGTGAATAGTTACTCACTAAGCAGCACAGCGTGTCCACTGCAGACATCGATCAATATCTATCTAATCCGCTTTGGTTGTTTTAAAAAGATGCTGCAGTAGTCGTTTTTCCATTACACATGACTTTGCAGAAACAAACGTTACATTGAAAACATCATAGAAAATACAATAATGTTTTAACTATTAGTAGAGTATCACACAAAAGGCCCAGTTATGCCATTAATCATTTTATCATTCTAAACCACATTTTTCTGCAGAACTGGTACTTTACTACTTACTCCACTGCTCATTCCTACCTAACGTTTACCTAATCATCTCCTACATGTCATGATATGGACCACCATTGTTTGGCTTGATATTAAATCGATAGCGGGGGAAATGCCCCCATTAACAATGCTGTATAAGCTGCTCACCCAGGTTCAGTATGTGCACCATGGCCTCCAGCCCCAGGGTGTCGTACAGAGGCACCACCGCCATGGAGTAGGTGTAGCAGGCCAGCTCCGAGATGATCCACTGTGAGCAGCAGAGGGAGACAAAGCACCGAGACTCATTTCCAGCCTTCAACCACTGCGGTGAGCGAGTACTTCAGTTCATATACATAAAATATGTATCTTTACAGGGATTGATGTGTGGTTATGTAGATCACACTGTTTTTGAACCAAAAACTACATTTAAAGTAGAAAAAACAGCCCTCTACAAGTAGAGTGGTGTGAGGTTGAAGGCTCTGATGGAGCAGAAAATGATCTTTCCCTTCTCGTCTAAAGTGAGGCGAGCTTGATGGATATAATACAAAATGAGATTGGGAGTAAACCTGCTCTAAAATTAGCTGCCCTGGAGACACAAATTCACCACCGGCGCTCTGCTCCCAATATGAAT